AGGTAAAATCAGAAAATGCTAGAAAAACTCAGCAGATTTGAACTGAGTTAACTAATCTCAGGGTTGAAATGTTTTCATTGGAACTCTGCATTCTAAATCATTTAACAGCCAGTGCAGTCATTTGGAATACTATATATCAATTGTAGCAATTAATTAATGCACAGCAAGGTTTCCATAAACAACAGAGATAATATAAAATAATTTGGTTATAATGTTGGTTGAGGGATAAATGTCGGCCAGGAGATCAGATCACCCCTGCTCTCCTTCAATTAGTGTGATAGGATGTTTTACTTCTGCCTTGTGGAAGAGATGGGATCTTGGATTAGCATCTTGTCCAAACTCAGTACTTCTGGCAATATAGCACTCTGAAGACTGATTACATGCTTGAGTAACTAGAGTGAGGCTGAAACTCAGGGCTTTCACTACTGATTCAAGTTTAATGTCTAAAATTGTAATCAGTAATGAAGAAAAATAAGGAATTCTGTGCAAGAAGTCATATGTGAGAAAGGTGGGGATGCGAGAGAGTGATTATTGAGGAGAGGTATAGAGAGATTTCAAGGAAAAGGTGAGATGGAGAGACATTAAAGAATGAAAGGTTATCAAAAGGAAGGTTGCAAGGTTGAGAAAGAGGGATGGATTATAGTGTATCGGTGAGACAGTTAAGATGTTGAAAGGATTACAAATAGGAGTGAAAGACAGAAAAAGATTATGGGCTAGCACAGGTTAAACATGGTGAGGGGAAGGATTTTATGGTAAAGGTGAGAAGGGTTGTGAGATAGAGAGAGAGAGAAATATTATAGGATAAGATGAAAGAAATAATGCTGATCAAACAAATTTCGTCCTGTATTTGAGGGAACAAAGTTCAGATGTTGTAAAGACTTGGCTTTTCTGCAAAGTGAAATTGATTAAGAACAATAAATCTCTTCAATAAACAAATGTGGGATTACAACCCTAATGAAGAAGTGCCAAGACCAACAATGTTGCCAAATGGAAAAAATGGAGGTGAGATCATCAAAAGGTAGATTTAGTGTCAGCGTTTTGGAGACAGTAAGGGCTGCAGATGCTGGAATCTAGAGTCAATAAACATGGAGCTGGAAAAGGCAGCAGGTCAGACAACATCTGAGGAGCACTGAAGTCAAAGTTTCAGGCCAAAATCCTTCGCCAGGACTGAGGGGGAGGGGAGCCCAGAAAACCCGACTTTCCGGTTGCTATCCATTTTAACTCCCCCTCCCACTCCCCTGGTGACATGTCCATCCTTGGCCTCCTGCACTCTCAGAGTCAAGCCAAATGTAAACTGGAGGAACAACACATCATATTTCGCCTTGGGAGTTTACAGCCCTATGGCCTGAATATTGGCTTCACCAGCTTCAAAATCTCTCCACCTCTAACCCGTCCATCTTGACTCACCTATCTGTTCCACCCTTTCCACTGACTAACCACAATACCCCCCTCCATCTGCATCCACCTACCTCCATCCAAACATCCCTACCCCCAGCCCCACTCCCCTCCCTCTATTTATTTCTGGGCTCCCCTCCCCCTCCCCAGTCCTGACAAAGGGTTTTGGCCCAAAATTTTGACATTCCCCCCCCCTCCTCGGATGCTGTCTGACCTGCTATGCTTTTCCAGCTCCACATTTATTAGCATCAGCATGCTATGCGAAGGGGGAAGAAAATTGTTGGTGGGGGAGTTAGACAAAATAATGAATGATGGTCATTGACACAATTGTTTTGTTAGTAGAAGGGAAGGATGTTGATTCAGAGTTCTGAATCAAACATAGACCCAGAGATGGAGGCTCAAATTCTTGAATGTGAAGGTATTGATATTATTCATTTATTATCAGCATATCTCAAATCTTGCTTGCTTTGTTCAGTTACCAAGCAAATGTTGAAATTAAAGGCACCTCAACATTATTTGTACAGATTAAAAATATTTTATTTGTATTTCCCTCTTTGAGAACTTTGATCTCCAATTATTGTCTTAAATACTGTCTCCAATTCAAGTGCCTTGCCACTGCTTAAACAATGGATTCCGGCAATTTTTTAAAAAAATAGTTGTAGACTAACTGTAGTTCTGTTTTCTATCTTTCCCACCTTTCTTAAATAGTAGTGTTATATTGACTACACCAGTCACAGGGACTGTTCCAGAATCTAGAGAATTATTGCAAGCTTATAACCAATGTATCTAATCCACCTCTTGTGGAACCCAGGACATAGATCCTATCACGTAGTGAGGACATTTTTAGCCCTATTAACTTCTCCACTCCTTATTCTTTATCCATATGAATTAGTTCCTCACTCTCATTGGACTCTCCATATTTCTGGTACATTTTGTGTCCTCTATTGTGGTGACCGACCTCTTGCTTAACATTTCTACATTTATTTATTCCCCATTACAAGTTCTCAGCTTCTAAGGGATTCATGTTTGGTTTTGCAAATCTCCCTTTTTGCTTGTAAAAGCTCTAGCAGTTTGTTTGATTTTTTTTGCTAGATTATACTCATGTTACTTTTGCACTTTCAAAAAAAATAATCCTTTTCTTGTTACTTCTCAGAGTGGTGCTGGTAGCAAGATAGTCTCAGGGCAATTGGAATTCCACCAAGTAAAAAATTAAAGGTCAAAATAAAAATGCATAGGCCAGGTCCTTAGGTTTTAGAGAAACTTATGATTGCATAGGCAGTGGGAACATTCACTTTCCAGGGTGCGGTTCCTTTTGAGTTATGATATAAAATCACCTAATATAAGTGTTATTGTAATTAATTCACAAGTTAGTGGCTGTGTGGGGAGCCCAACGGTGATGTAGGTAGGATTTAAAAGGCCACCTCATTTACCTAATAGAGCTGGAATGTGTTAATAAAGTGAAAGGAGGTGTGTCCTCTTGTGGTTACTGTGAGGAGTGCATCACAGGATCCAGCTGCCGAGGGAGTGGTTCCAACTCACGGCCCCGTAGGGAGTTGAGGCAACTTTCCATATCTCACTTTAATTGCCTGTATTATTTTTACACGCAAACTTTCTCCACTCACCTGACTGTTCTTCTTAAGGCTCAGAAAGTCTTGTTTGGGCAATGCTGCCTTTTCTGTCTCAAGAAGCACAGTGAAAGAGTCAAGAAAAGATCATTCTACTCATCAATTCCATCATGCCACACATCATGAACTCTACAACCCCCAGTCAATTGTACATACCCAAAGGTTCCTTTCTCCCCTAAAAAAAAATACCCAGAATCATGATACATTCATAGAGCATTCTCAGAATTTCAGGATGTGCCAAAGAATTTGATCAGTAAGGTGTCAGAAATGACTTACGTACAGCAGCTGCTCTCAAGAACAGAAATGTGATGATGACTAAAGAGGTCTCTTTTTAAAAAAATGTGGTACAGGTGAAGTTCCACCAGATCTACCTATCTCATTGCTACTTTGGTCCCAACATGGACAAAAGAGCTACAATTGACTGTTGCCACAGACCCAGAGGACCATAGGCTTGCTCTCTCTCACTAGAGAGAACCAACTGATGGGGAGTTTACCCTGAGGGTCACCACGTTTCAGGTGAGAGGCAAGGGTGAAAAAGCAGGACCTTCGTGGGATCTCATCTAGTACAGGAATTGAACTTGCACTGTTAGCATTACTCTGCATCACAAGCCAGCCATCCAAATTAACCAAACAAAATCTCAAACATGAGGTGAAATTGACTGTCATTGACAACATAGCAGCATTCAACTGAAGGTGACAGAAGAGCTCAACGAAAATTGAAGTCAATGGGAATCAGGCAGGAAATTTCCTCTTGGCTAGAATCATACCAAGCACACAGCACATTTGTAATGAAAACCAAGTGTTGGAGAAACCCTGTGGGATGAGCAGTATCTGTGGCATCTGTTTTTGTTTCAGATCTCCAGCATTCACAGTACTTTTATAAAGGACTTCTGCTGTGCTTGTTGGGGATCTATCTCAGCCTTAAGTCATCATTACAGGAGTACATCTTCAGCTACGTCATCGATGACCTTATTTCTAGAAATATAGAAATAAGGATGTTTACTGATGACTGCCACGTTCAGTTCCATTGAAGCTGCTCGCGTTTGAACACAACACCCGCATAACATTCAGGCATTTGTGGCTGGAAAGCTGATACAGGAGGAAAGCATCGTATTTCTGAAGCATCAGGGCCGGTACTGAGGAAGGTGGGACCTGTACAAGCCAGATGGATTACACCCGAGCAGGACTGGCATGAATATTCTTGCAGAGAGAATTGCTAGAGCTTTTTGGGAAAGCTTGGACTAGTTTGATAGGGGGATGGGAATTGGAAGGCTGATTCAGGAGGGACAAATTCAGACAGGAAGGCAGCAAATTTGCGAACGGTACTCAAAGACAGAAGCAAAGGTTAAAAAGAGTACACCACAGGAATTTGGCCGTGTTAAAAGGCAAAAGTATAACAAATAAAGCTGATGAACTGAGGACATGTGGCAGCATGTCAGGGCCATACCTGAGACTTTGCTGAAAGGATGGCAAAACTGGCACCTGAACATCCTGGATGTAAAGTTTATAAAAGTGGGGTAATAGCATTATTTGTTCAGGAAAATTACAGCTGTGAGAAATGACTTACTAAATTAATCATCAAATTAGGCTAAAATAAAATAAAGGACCGAGATGCTGGAAATCTGAAAAAACAGAAAATGCTGGAAAAACTCAGCAGGTCTCACCCTTCATCAGTGGACTCGAAACATTGACTCTGCTCTCCTTACACAGATGCTGCCAGATCTCCTGAGATTCTCCAGCAATTTCTCTTTTTGTATTAAATTAGGCTGAATGGATTGATATCAGAAATATAAAAAAAGGTCAGCCACACTGCCATAAGTGTACTATGAACCCCAAATAGTGCAAGGGAGATAGACAGCAAATATGTTAGGCATATTTCCGAGTGCAATAAAGATAGGGCAAGTATTAGTTGGGGACTTCAATTACCCTAATATCAATTGGGATTTGAAAAGTGAGAGAAGCACAGAGGGCACAAAATTCTTGAAAGATATGCAATAAAACTTTATTAGCCAGCACGCAAACAAACCCAACGTAAGGGGATGCAATTCTAGATTTAGCCTTAGAAAGTGAAGCTGGACATGTTGATGAAGTAGCAGTGGGTGACCATTTTGGAGATAGTGATTATAAAATTTAGATTTCACATCATTATGGAAAAGAGCAAAGACAGAACATGACCAAAAGTTCTAAAATAATACAAAGAACTGCAGCTTCTGGAAATCTGAAACATAAACAGAAATTGCTGGAGAAATTCAGCAAGTCTGGCAGCATCTGTGGGAAGAAAGCAGAGTTAACACTTTGAGTCCAGTTCTGATGAAGAGTCACTGGACTCTAAATGTTAACCAAAAGTTCTAGATTAGAGTAACACAAATTTTATACAGCTGAAGGTGGATTGGATATAACTACTTGAAGGAAAATCAGCGACAAATCAGTGGAAGTCATGCAAAAGAGAGATTCTACAAGCAGTTTACACATTCTAACAAAAAAACAGTGGTACTGCCAAATCTGTAGTTTCCTGTCTATCCTGAAGCATACATAGTATGGTAAAGAAGAAAAACAAAGCCTATAACAGTAACAAAAAACACTAAATATTGTAGAAAGCTTAGTGGTAGTGAAACTACAGGGAAAGGGCAGGAAAGTGGATGTGAGGAATATCACATCAGCCATGATCCTATTGAATGGCGGAGATGGCTTGAGGGGCCGAACGGCCTAGTACAGTTTCTATTTCTTATGCTTTTACATGGAATACTTTTCATTATTGAAATGCTAATGATGCTGGAACAATATAAAATGCTAGTTAGGCTACAGCTGGGATCTTTTTGTACAATTCTGGTCACATTACAGGAAGGATATACTTTCTCTCCATGTACATAGCGTGCAGAGGTGATTTTCAAGATGATTGTCAGGACTTGAAAATTACAGCTATGAAAATGATTTGGATAGGCTGTTGCTGTTTTGTTTAGAAAAGAGGAGGGGAGGCGTGACTTCATTAAAGTGCACAGAACTATGAGGAGCTGAGACAAGAAAGGCCTGTTTCTCCTAGCGGACAGGTCGATTACTAGCAGGTTTTAGGGTAGGTTGTTAGACTGCTTAAAGGGGATATGAGGAAAAATGTTTTCACCTAGAGGGAGATGGAGGTCTGGAATTTACTGTCTGGTTTTTTGATAGAGGTAGAATCCTGTAACCTGCAAGCCTATGGATCAGGGGCTGGAAAGTGGGATTAAAATAGGTGACTCGTTTTCTTTCCCTTTACAATTAGCACAGACAAAATGGGGTGAATGGCCTCTTTCTGTGGTGTAAGTTTTGTATGGTTCTAATATTTACACCACACAATGGCAGTTAATCAACACCTCAAACAAGACAGCGTGTCTGACCACCTCCCCATGCCATTCAGTTACATTACCAACGCTGTTTTCCCAACATCAATATCCTAAGGCTGCCATTAATTAGAAATTTAACTGTACCAATCACACATGGCAGTGCTACTGGGTTAAAAAAGAAGGAATAAAATCAGGAAATGTTACTATTTTCCACTTTTCAGTTGAAAATTCATGATCATTGCTGTTCCATAAGCAGATATTTAGTCTTTTTTTAAGTCACATTTTTAACATGTTTGATGGGACTCTGCTCTGGTAATTAACCTCTATGCAAGAAGAATTATTGTTTGGTTTGAGCTATCTCAATTACATATCCTCTCACATTACTTTTAAAATTCACTTTAAATGCAGTTTTTAACAATACCCATTCCTTGGTGCCCTTTAACAGCTCAGGAGTACTTTGTTGGAGTTGTATAAATATCCAGTAAAGTTTAGAGAGGGGGAACGAACCTTAGCCTAGATCGGAAATATCTCAAAGTGCCCCAAAAGAACTGCTCCTTTTAAAGGAATGGTTTTGATATGTAGACAAAGTGGCAGCTGTTTTACTTGCAATTATCACAAAGTGAATGATCACTCAATTTGTTTCTTGTAGTAGCATTTCACAGAGGATTGTTGGTTATGATACTGGGAGAACTCTCTACCCTTGAATTATAGCATCCATAGATCTAACTGGATCATCTGTGAGGTCAGTTAGACAATAGGATGGCTCGTGAGCTACTAGGACATTGGAAATATCTGGTGAGGAAAGGAAATGATCAACAATGAATTACATGGATTGTGTAAGTAAAGCCTGAAGTTTGCTCAAGCTGGGGAAATCCTAGCATGAAGTTCCCGAAGGTGAATTGGGTTAGGGGTAGAATCCAGATTCGAGCAGATTGTACTATGTGCAGGAAACTAGGATACAAGGGAGTGCACTGTACACAGTGTATGCAATGAATAGGAGTACACAAAAGGACTTACTGTACAGTCTACGCAATTAATGAATTAAACAGGATGCTTCTCCATCTGTGCTTTGTTCTTATAAATGAGTTCTATGTGCTCGAGATTTACACTTTGAGAGTCACATTAGCACAATTCAAATGTGTGCCTGTGACTAAGAGGGTTTACGATTAGGTCTATTCCATTTTAAGTTGTTTATTTATACGGAAGTCTAGCAGGGAAAGGGAAAGAATCTGAGTAACATCATTACACAGTGACAATTTAAGCCACTCGGCACCAGGGAAGCAGCAGGAAAAATAAATAAAAGCACTTTCTGGTATAGCCCACAGCGTCATAGCCAGCATCAAGCTTTACAATAACAAGGACCTTTTCACGTTACAGACTAGGACATGGTTTAAGAATTCACCTATTACAGTGAGTGCTTTTGAATATCAATTCTCAGAAAAATCACATAGGAGTGACCAGGCGGGATATGTCAAAGAGGGAAAATGCAAAGGTGCAAAGTCAGTTGGGAGGGTCAGGAACCAAGACAGAAGATGAACAGGGAGACATTGTAATAACTGGGTGCATAAGTGAGTGCAGTGTGTGCTGAGCTTGATGGAGGAGAAAGGAGAAAGTAACTTGTTTTTTGCTTATTTTTTCCTGATAGTAACAATCTCTGGATTAAAACAAAGGCTGACTAACCAAGATACAGAAATGTTTTGCAAAGAATGAGACTATACATTTAGGCAGCAAACTGGTGCTGGCATGATGTGATATGAGATTTGTAAAGAACTGAGTTGGTGAAACATAAATCTGGAGTCTCACCCTATTCCATTCTGATACTTGACAAAGTCACACCAGGAGTGGGAGAAGGTTTAAGCCAGCACTCAGTGACTATACAAGTGTAGTGCAAATGCAGCCCCAGTAGTCACAATGGTAACAATTTTTTAGTGAAGATTGCATTCACTATTTACAAATCTACCCATGCATTCATGAGACAGACTATACTTTAGAGGATACACAGACAGATACACAGCACCTGTAGACGAGACACAAAATAATTTACTTTCAGTTGAACTGAAGTTAACTGCAATTTGATGGTCTCCTTCATAGTGAAGTTAACTTGTGCACCTCTTCCTCTATCCCCAGCACTTACTGTTAGGGAAATTTAAATCAGAGCACCAGATTTCATATATAGGGACATACAAGAGTGAAAGAGAAAAGTGGATTTAAATTTCAGATCGGGTTCAGGGATTCCATAACCTGCATCTGAGCAGCTCAAGGAGACAACAACAAAAGCTACAGAGCTGAAAATCAGATTACTCCTGCAGTGGGTCTGTGATTAAGCCAGATAAAAACATTTATATATTTACCAGTATTCCTTTCCCACATTTATGTGTTAAACTTAAAATGAACAAAACACGTGGACAACTATTTCTTTACTGTTTTGAAGGGTTGGCATCGGTTGCACAGTAACTTCCAATTACAAGGAACTTCCAACTTGACAGCTGCCTGGGGGGTTGTTCTCTGACCCTCTCAAAGGGTTGACAGCAGAAATGCCAGCAAAAACAATACAAAACACATGCACACCCACAACTGCATCTTGCGAACGTATGCACTGCTGATAAATGCACCCACTCTCACACACAGACCATCACCATTCTAGCCACACTCTCCCACTACCACCATGTTGGGTTGTAGTGTCCAGTCAACCTCCTCAAACAGCATCAGCCCTTCCTCACATTGAACAGTATTCTCCCTGCAAACAATAAGATGTCAAACATCACAGTGCAGGTCACATCATGACCTCCACAGAATACCACAGTGGGCAACATAAGATGTGCAAGGCCTACAATTCATGCCTTGGCCCAGACTAGTCTCACAACAGTCTAGACTGATCCTGCAGTCGGATGTGGGGCCCAGACTGGTCCTGCATCATAGGTGGTGCCCAGGCCAGTCCTGTGGTCAGTCTGAGATGGGGCCCAGGCCAGTCCTGTGGTCAGTCTCAGGTGGGATCCAGGCAGGTCCTGTGGTCAGTCTCAGGTGGGATCCAGGCAGGTCCTGTGGTCAGTCTGAGATGGGGTCCAGGCCGGTCCTGCGGTCAGCCTGAGGTGGGGTGCAGGACCCTCGACCCCACCCTAATCCTGAAACCATTTGCTTTTCTTCATGGGGTAGGAGGCAGGGACTGTCCCCAGGAGCTTCTTCTTGTACTGCTCAACCAGAGAATTAAATCTCTTCTCTTCCTTGTTCCGTTTGTTAGTCTTTGCCACCTTAAATTTTGAATGGAGAAAGATTTTTATTTAAGACAATTGGAAATACATGAAGATCCTGAGAAATATTTCATAAACAAGTCATCAATTTCTGGGCTAGCTTTCACCAATGACTACAATAGTATTCTTGTGGTATGAGGATTCCAGCCAGAGATCATCTCTTTCACTCAGTTGAAAATTCAACTGATTCCTTGTGCTCCCCTCCCACTCTCCCGCTTATTCTATCCCCATCATCTACGAGAGGGCTCTAACCATGGTAACATTTCACAATACCTGGAGGTTCTCCAATCCTTAAAGCTCACCAAAATGACTCCTCTTCAATGGATGATTGCATACAGTGTCAGCAAAATGTTTGATAGCACAGATCGTAACAGCTTCACCAGACTGTGGTATACCCAACATCCTCAGATGGAGCAATTTCCAGATGGGTTCCTAATCAGAGTGATGCAGAGTAGTGAACTCTGGCTAGTTTCCCTCCTCCTTGGCCTCAAAGTACTATGTGCCAATTGTGGAACTAACAGAGATCAACTTACTCAATGTAGGACCTGAACAAAACCTGGGCTTTTCTGCCTCCCTCCCTTTTTACACATAGCCCGAACCCCAACCTTTCCTCCCACCCACTACAGCCACATCAATCTTATGGTCCCTCACCTGCTTTTTGGAAACTGCCTGCTTCACCACAACTGAATTCTTCACTCTCTTTGCCCGGCCTGGTTGCATTTTCACTTTCTTGGTCTGTGGTTGCTGCTGTTTCCCTTTATCCCGCTTTCTAGAAGAAGAAATGATTCAGAATTATCAGGTTAGTACCAGCCTGTCCACAGGCAATCACCGTGAATTCTAGTAATGAGAGTGCATGCTCCTGAGCAGGGAGCAGGCAGAGACTGAGGTCTGCCTTGAATGAGGTCAATTATCTCAACATCCAGCAGCGATCACCAAAACAGTCCACCCTCACCAGTTTTACCAACTGGCTTGATCTGAACTTAAAAGCTCAAACAAGTTCATGGTCATTCCCACCCACTTCAGCCCATAATTTTCAACAGAAGGAATCAAAGAGGTATGGGATAGTTCATGGCATATACACTGATTTTGATGAAGGGCGAGATTCCTTTAAGGTACTCTGTATTATTTCTACACCCATGTTGTCCCACAACTAGGTGCCAATCCAGCTCAGAGAAATTCGGGCTCTGCAACAGCATTCAGTGCTCAATAGGAGAGATGGGGACAGACACATCCAGGGAAGAATGTGCAAAATATAGAAATTCGAGAATAAGACTGGAGAACATTGACAGACTCGTGCTCAAATTAAAAAGGAAAAAGCAGACATAGAATAATTCCATTAGCAGGACCTTTAGCTGAAGTGCTACTAGTCAGCCACCAGAGGGTATCTACATCATTTAACAATACAGGTCAAACACAAGTGAGATATTTTAAGCGTGGAAGCAGGCCATTTGGCCCTTGGAGTCCACACCGACCCAGACCGAGCCCACTACCCTATCCTCATAATACCACATTTCCAATGGCTAATCCAACTGGAACACCCAGAGGAAACTCATGCAGACGCAGAGAGAATGTACAAACTCCACACAGAAAGTCATCCAACGCTGGAATCAAACCCAGGACCCTGGCACTGTGAGACAGCAGTGCTAACCACTGTGCTATTGTGCTGCTTAACAACATATACCACCTTTAACACAGTAAAAGATCCCAGAAGCTTCATCAGAGCATAATCTACAATAATTTAACAGGGTGACATAATGGAACCAAACAATTGAGCGAGGCAGGCTTTAATTACATCTTAAAAGGAAATAAGTGTAGACACAGACAGAAAGTACCACAGGGCTTTGGTAACTGAAGCATTTCTCAACCAATAGCCAGTGTAGGTCAATGAGCAAACATACAGAGATGGGTGAATAGGTCTTTTATCCTTTTATTCACTCATGGGATATGGGCAATGCTATCTAGACCTGCATTATTGCCTGTCCCTAGTTGCCCTTGAGAAAACTGCATCACAAAAGCAGCAGTATTTTGGAGGAGCAAAAGTTTATGCCAGGTCCAAAGGATGTGAAGCAGGAAGTTGGAATAATCAAGTAATCACTGGAAAAATCAGGTGATTAGCATGTGTTTCAGCAGGCAAAATATTTTAAAGGTTATTAGTCCGATACACACTGGGATATTGTGTGCAGCTGACTCTCCAGGCATTCATGTCTGTTACACACATGATCAGGTGTGTAGGTGAGACATTAGGTCCATTTTCTTTCCCCAGGTCTCTTCAGCAATGCCTGCTTCATTAAAAACCCAGAACCCTGCTCCCAGAGAACTTAATGCACAAAGTGATAATCCTAGGAAAAGAAAGCTCCCCTGTTCACTTTCGTACATAACTTGCAAAATTCGCCTGGTGTCTCTTTAACTCGTGGAACATCATCCCTTCTACTTGTACAGTGCCTTATATGAACCATTACTGTTCCGTGGAGAAGTGCAACGCCCAACTTATGTTCAGCAAGTTCTTGCAAACAGCATTAAGACAAATGACCATAACTCTGCTTTTGTGATGTTGCTCAAAGAATAACTTTATTACGGAGGAGATCTTTCCTTTTTTAGTTGACCACAATCATGGGAATATTTTTAATCCTAACTTAGTTTAATGCCTCATCCCACCTTTGACAGTACAGCACTGGGACTCCCAGCCTGAAATATAAGATCATATCTCTGGATTGGGGCTTGAACCCACAATTTCTCAATTCAGCAGAGACTACTACCTACAAAACAACTAAACATCCCCAGATAAACTCGATCAGCTTCTTTCATAGCTTGGAAAACAATTAATTCAATTTCAACCTCTTCTTTCACTCCTTCAAACAAAACTGATTCTGTAATCTTTTCACAGAGAAGAAATTTCCAGTTCCCAAGAAGGCCTTTGTTATTCCTTTCCAGACTGTGATAATGCCCTTTGCTGTGGTGAAAGGACCAAAGCTGTACACACATGAGAGAACGCAACCCCACAATATCTGTTACTGGAGAGTGGTGCACACAGAAACTAGTGAAGTTTCTCTCCTAATCTTTGTAAAGTTAGGACTTACATGACACAGATTTTATTTCTTTGTGCTGAGTCTTGAATATGTATTTTCTATAGTAGTTTGATCCAAACAAGTAATCATCCATCCCGGCTGTCACACATCATTATTAGAACAAGCAATAAACTGACCACAAGCCCCACCCCAGACTAAAGGATCCTAAAAGCGGAATTCAAAATCAAGTAGCATTTTTGGATGGGACAAGTACTCAGAAATTCATTCCTCTAGCAAGGAGTTTCGTAAACAGACATTTGTGAGAACAATTGACAAAATTATGAGGGGGGAACAAATAAGGAGGATTTTCCACTCACCTCCACACAGAGGGTTCTTAAAATCTGGAATGGACTACCCAACAGGTTAGGAGCTTTCCAAAGCAAACTGGACATGTATTTGAAGACAACTAAATTACAGGGCTGTGGAACTCAATTTGGATAGTTCTTTCAAAGATTCAGCTCAGGAACAACAAACTAAATAGCTTCCTTCTGATCTGCAAGATTTACAGCACCCTCCCTGTGATAAATTCATACCGAATTTTGGGGCCTCGGTGAGATGGCAGAGGTAGCACCTTCTTCCGTTTCTTGCCATTGGCCAGCTCCACCTCCTCAACCTCAGGTGTGGTACAAAATCCAGACCATGATTTGTGACCCTTTGGAACAGTTTGCGGGGTGGTCTGCTGTTGGACACTTGAATATGTGCTGCATTTCTCAGTCTGCACCGGTTTGCTTGCTCCCACTTTAAGCTGCTGCAACTGCTGCCAAAAGACGAACATAAAGGACATATTCAACCACTAAGTTAATATTTCAGCTGCTGCCTGCTGGAAGCTCCAGCTGAGTTACTGCAGTGTGACAGCACCTTCCACTGGCTGAAACAAGATATAACAGCATTTATATTTACAGAGGGAGTTCAGATTTAATTTGTGCAATGTGGCATCAGCACTCCCAGTACCTGGCACTTTACTTCAAGTCATGGGCAAGAAAAATTTGCTGCAAACTTTAAGAAAGAATGAAATATCTTGTATTTACATAACAATTCATCATATCCTGAGTATATCCGGAACACTCCATTGCCAAAAACAGATAAACTTCTTATTTGTCCCATTGAATCAGCTGAAGAGGGATCGATGCTCTGTACCAGATTTAGTAGTAACTTTCAAAAGGAAATTAGATGAATATTTTCAAAGGAAACACTTCTTTAAACTTGGGATTAAGAACAGAAAGAGAGATTTTAATTCACTTGTGGGATGTGGGTGTTGTTGGTTTACGTGGCATTTATTGCCCATCCCTCGTTGCACTTGGGTAGATGGTAGTGAGCTTCTTTATGAACTGCTACAGTCCATCTGCTATAGGTTGACCCACAATGCCCTGAGGGAGGGAATTCCAGGATTCTGACCCAGTGACAGTAAAGGAACAGTAACATATTTCCAAGTCAGGATGGTGATTGGCTTGAAGGGAACTTGAGGGTGGTGGTGTTCCCATGTATCTGCCAACTTTGTCTTTCTCGATGGACGTGGTTGTGGGTTTGGAAGGTGCTTTCTGAGGGTCTTTTGCAAATTTGTACATCTTGCTGCTACTGAGAGTAGGTGGTGGAGGGAGTGGATGCATGTGGATAGGGTTACAATCAAACTGGTTGCTTTGTCTTGGATGATGTCAAGCTTGATATCATCACAGAATCCCTATAGCGTAGAAACAGGCCATTTGGCCCAACAAGTCCACACCGACCCTCCGAAGAACATCCCACAAGGACCCATCCCCTTACCCTTGTCCCGCAACACCGCATTTCCCAAGGCTAACGCAGCTAACCTACACCCCCCTGAACACTATGGGGAATTTAGCATGGCCAATCCACCTAACCTGCACATCTTTGGACTGTGGGAGGAAACTGGAACACCCAGCAGAAACCCATGCAGACACGGGGAGAATGTGCAAACTCCACACTGATAGTCGTCCGAGGGTGGAATCAAACCCAGGTCCCTGGTGTTGTGAGGCAGCAGTGCTAACTACTGCACCACTGTGCCGTCTTTGACTGTTGTTGAGTTTCACCCATCCTGGCAAGTGGGATGTATTCCATCATACTCCTGACTTGTGCCTGGCAGATTGTGGACAGGCTTTGGGGAGTCAGGTGAGTACTCGCCTCAGTATTCCTAGCCTCAGACCTGATCACGTAGTTACTGTGTTAATGTGGCAAGTCTGGTTGAATTTCTGGTCAATGGTAACCCCCAGGATGTTAATAGAGGGGGATTCAGCGATGGTAACATCACTGAATGTCAAGGGGTGGTGATTAAATTGTCTCTTATTAGAAATGATCATTGTCTGGCATTTGTGTGGCACACATGTTACTTGCCACTTGTCAGCTCGAGCCCAGATATTGTCCAGATCTTGTTGCATTGGAGATGCAAATGATAATTGCACAATGTTCAGCATCAGCGAACATCCCCAATTCTGATGTCATGATGGAGGAAAGGTCATTGATGAAGCAGCTGAAGACTGTTGGGCCAAGGACACCACTCTGAGGAACTCCTGCAAAGATGTCCTGGAGCTGAAATGACTGACCTCCAACAAGCATGACCATCTTCCTATGTGTCAGGGGTGATCCCAACCAGCAGAGAGTTTGCTCCTGATACCCATTGATTCCAGTTTTGCTAGCGTTCCTTGTTGCCACACTCGGTCAAGGGCTGTTAATCTCACCTTACCTCTGGAACTCACCTCTTTTGTCCACATTTGAACCAAGTCTGTAATGAATTCAGAAGCTGAGTGGCCCTGGCTAAACCCAAACTGGGTGTCAGTGAGCAGATTATTGCTGATGTGATATGTGATAGCACTATTGCTGATACCTTCCATTACTTTGTTGACGATCAAGAATAGACTGTTGAGGCAATATTTGGCTGGGTTGGATTTGTCCTGCTTTTTGTTAACTGGACATACCTGAACAATGTTTTTTAAACAGTGCCAGATAGATACCAGTGTTCTAACTGTACTGGAAGAGTTTGGCAAGAGAAGCGGCAAGTTCTGGAGCACAAGTCTTCATTACTATTGCTGGGATGTTGTCAGGGCTCATAGCCTTTGCTTAGCTTTCTTCTAAACAGCCAGCACAGACACAATGGGCCAAATAGCCTCCTTTTGCATTCTAAGTTTTGATGAAAGAATGGCCATACAACTTGGAAGAATTCTAGACACACCCAAGTCCAATACTTTGCCAACTAGTTCTTAAGCTGAATGACTAAAGCATATTCTCCATATGACCTCCTCAACCCTTTTCGGTGTTGGAACGGTTCACAATTGATGGGTAAATTGCGCTCCCATAAGAGACACCCTTACCAGATTGCGCTGCATGCGCATCTCTTTGATTTTCAGCTTCCGCCGATCTTCCAATGAGAATTCCACAATCGGCCTCTGTTTCAGGAGCAAGGCGGGGTGGGGGACGGAGAGAGAAAAACACAAAAGAATCATAATAAATATTGTGCAGATACAACATTAAAAGCTGCACACCTCAAATCAGTCGCTGCAACGGTCTACTGGGATGACTCCAGCATCAATATAGCGAGACCTCCTGCTGAAGATTATCCAGTACAACAGCTTTTTGTTTCATTGTTTAGTATGCTGTGTGCTGCTGACAAGGAACCAAAAACGAACAGACGCAAGAAAAACTTGGAAATGTAAAATTATCTTTCACTTAAATTGTGCATTTACTTTTCGATCTTTCCTTCTTTAATCCAGCTCTCCTGAAGACACAGGCTTTGATTTATAAAGTGGGAATCTATTTCTATTACACTTGCATTTACCACATTTGTGCTCTTAACAACTGACTGTATGAAAACATGCTTAAGACCTTTTGAGATCTTTACCCAATTGTTTTAAGTCTGCAACCTCTTTACCATTTCTCCCTATATGCTCCAACAGAAAATCCTCACCGAGGTGATGAGTATTGACATGATATTTAGGGGTATTGCAGCCAGGAGCCACTGCTTATGATCAAAAGTGAGAATCCACTTCCTAACGAAGATACCCAGACTGACATTATCTAATGCAGCAAGTTGGGCAGACAGAATCCTGATTATTCTGGTCTACAGCTTGGTCTATAGTGTACCAACAGAGGAAATGAGGTTTCTGCACATTCCACAAATAAAATTCATGCAAATTTCCACTGGGCCAAGAGAATGTTGCCTTTTTCCTCTGAAAGGCATTTCATTATTTCCACACACTATCATCCAAGACAAGGATCTATCTGCACCCAAGACATCCAGCAGAATACCAAAGTGCTGTGCACTCATTTTTGAGACTTTTCTCCTCCATTCCTATGAGTGAATGTAGCAGTCTTGGAAGTGAGGAATTTCACTGTTCTGGCACAAAAGCACTTCAATGGCTAATATGTGGGGTGCCAGGTCAGGTAAAGCAAAGTCAACTCTGACCAAACATAGCACCTTAGGCACAACATTGCTCCCTAATGGTATTTTTCTGACTAAGGCCACTAATTAACTGCTTCTGCATCTTTTGTCTGAGATCCAGACCAATACAACTCATAGATAACCAGCTACATTATCCAAAATCATATGTACATAACCTGCAATTTGCTACTGTTTGGGAGCAGAGGGTGAAGCTCCTGATCATCAAGCTGCTTAAGAGGATTCTACCCAAAAAACAATGGTCAACATTTCCCCCTAACTGCAAAGCACTGAGATTTGTTACATTGGCAAGCCATGCATAAGCTCACTCACCTTCTCTGGCCCAAAAATGTCTGGGTTATTGTTCAGAGAGCGCAGGGCTGTCAAGGAGTGGCTGTGCTCTGTGAACTCTACAAAGCCATAGCCCAGAGAGCGCCCGCTTCCTTTCGTCTTTGCCATCTGCAAGTCCCGCATGATCCGACACTGAAGGGAAGTCGTGAAAGACACATGTAAGCAAACTACAGAACACAGCTCATTCAATGCATGGTATATCTGTTCTGCATTTTCATTCACATCACATTCCATTCACCAGTCTCCCTGAATCAACCGCTGAACTACACTGGTTCCCAGTGCAGTAATATATCAGCAATGCATTAACTTTCAAATTCTTATCCTTGTTTTCAAACGCACCCAGGCCTCATGCTGCCACACCTCTGTAACCTACCAACATCTTTGTATTCATCTAAATTTGGCATTTTACAAATCTCCGACTGCCATCATTCCCACTGCTGATGGCCATACCTTCAGGTGCCAAGGCTGTAAGCTCTAGAATTCCTTCTGTCAACTTCCCCTTCAAAGAAGCTTCTTGAAACCTAATGCTTTGATGCAGTTTTTTACCTAATATTTATAACCATCCAGATTCTTGACAAACTCCGCTTAACATAAGATTCATTCTTACTGCCAAGATCTGACTACCTTCTCTTTTCCTTTGAGAGACTATTCGCTGTATAACTATGCACAGTATAACTGAAGCACAACCTCCATATTCGTGCATTCAATTCCTCTCGCAATAAACCGTAATATTCAACTAGCTTTCTGGATTATTTGCTAAACATACATACTAACTTTTTGTGATTCATGCACTAAGCCACCCAGATATCTCTGCAACCTCTCAAGCTTTAGATTTTTTTCTTTCTTTTCTGCAAAAATGGATAATTGCACACTTTTCCCCATTGTGCTCCATCTTCCAGCTCTTTGCCCATTCACTTAACCTATCTATTTCCCTTTGTAGGCTCCTTATGTCCTTTTCACATCTCACTTTCCTACCCACCTTTGTGTAATCAGCAAATTTACTTACCTTATCTCTGGTCCCTTCATCCAAATCATTTATAGAAATTGTGAAGAGTTGGGGCTCCAGCACCTACTCTCGTGGTACACCACTCGTGACACCCTACCGGCGTGTTAAAAATCCACTCTGCTTTCTGTAGCAAGCCAATCTTCTACCCATGCCAGTATATTACGTCCTACACCATGAGCATTTATTTTCCATAATAATCTTTGATGTGGCACTTTATCAAACGCCTTCCGGAAATCTAAATACAATACACTGGTTTCTTATATCTATGCATAAGTTACTTTTTCAAAAGAACTCCAATAAATTAATTAAACATGATTTCCTTTTGACAAAATCATGTTGGCTGTGTCAGATTATCTTGAACTTATACAAGTGGCCTGTTATAACATCTTTAATAATAGCTTTTAACATTTTCCCATTAACAGATGTGAAGCTAACAAGTTTGTAGTTTCTTGCTTTCTGCCTCCTTCATTTTTGGAATACAGGAGCTACATTAACTATTTTTTAACCTAACAGAACCTTCCCTGAAACTATTGGGTTTTGGAAAATTAAAACCAAACGCATCAACAACTTCAGGAGGTCCCAAATGTATAATACATATTTGCAAGCTGATGCAACTGCCTACATGTACAGGTAATCTTTCAAAATAAATGTATTTCAAAAACCAGAAAACATTTATACAAGAGCTAGAACTTTTGGAAACTATGTCTCTGGATTCTGATTTGCAATAATCTATCAATCTTCTAATACCCTCCTAACAACATAAAACAACAACAATAGACTCTGGATGACTAACCTCTGTGATAAATTAATTGAATTAAATTTGAAGGTTTTTAAAAGAGACATTGTTGTCAATCCAGCAACTGGGAGGACACATTAACATTGTTGGTTGAGTGACAATACACTATCTAGAAACCCAGGCTAATGTTCTGGAGAAATAGGTTTGTATTGACCAAGGCAGATGGTGAAATTTGAATTCCTTACAATCTGGAATAAAAGCTAGCTGAGTGGTGGCCGTGTAAACACTATCAATTGTTGTAAAAATCCATTTGGTTCAATGAACGGAATTGGGAATAAAATAACAGACAATAAATAAAATCTGCCATCCTGAGCTGGTCTGGTCTACACATGACTCCAGTCCCATAGCAATGCAGTTGAATCTTAATTGCTTTCTAGGCAGCCGGGGATGGGCAATAAATGGTAGCCTAGCCCATATCACGTAAGTGAAGAGAAAAAAACAGAACATTCTATGGCTGAAATGCTCCTGTCCTGTTAAAATCAGGTATGTTTCTTACTGTGTGTAACGTCACTGAAAGGTCCACTAGTGTTAACAAAATTATTTAACGGAGACCTTCTCCCATAGTCACTCCCTTAGATAGCAACACCGCAAATGGCAAGATGTTGATGCAAAGTCACCGTTTTTCCATCACGCTCTTTGCCTCGAACAGAGATGGGATAGCCCCATTCTATGTATGGAATCTCCCCTCAGACTTCCAGTACCCATTCTTACCTCCTTTACCCGTGCGTCCTTTGTGCCTGCAGCCTCTAAACAGAGCTTTCGGAGCTGTTGGTCAGTCAACGACTTTGGAATGTTGTGTACACACAGCCTTGTTTTTGAGACAAAGATATTCACATCCTTGAGCTTTTGACGCTTCAGCTCCTCAAACTAAATATAGAACAGCAGCAATTAACTGGGATCCAAGTTCTGTATAATCGCAGTGTGCATTGCACTGAAGAAGCAAGATTTTTGGTGGCTAAAATAAGAGGATAGAGCACAGTGACCGGCAGAGCACAGTGCACAAGTGTAACAACTGCTATTGTCCAGCAAAAATTTATCTTGTACCCTATTGAAATTGCTAAGGTGCTCCTTTGAGTAATCTATTTCAAACTCACTATATGAAGTAAATAGTATCAGAGATAAGTCTTATTTGTGTTAATGTTTCGGGTTCGGTGACCCTTCCTCAGAACTTCCCCATTCTGAGGAAAGGTCACTGGACCCAAATGTTAACTTTGATTTTCTCTTCACAGATGCTGCCAGACCTGCTGAGTTTTTCCAGCAACTTCTGTTTTTGTTCCTGATTTACAGCATCTGCAGTTCTTTTAGTTTTTGTTTAGTCTTATTTGTTCATCAGTTCCTCTTATAAACTTCCACAGTGGAAGGTATCCTTCGCCAGAATTGAAAACATTGACATATGATGAAACAGTGTACTGAATTCTTGTTAAATTGCTGGTATGGCCTGTTCTAAACAATACATTGTGCTTAAAACCTGAGATGAAACAGTTCTTTACACACCTCCAGTAAGAATCACAAAGAGGAGAAAAACAGACAACAGGTAAATGTATTAGAATAGACTGAGATATGCATTGCAGTTCCATTTATAGTCTTAAAGGCGACTAGATAACTTA